AGCATGAATTTGGTTTTCCAACTAGGACCACAAATGCTCTATTGGATTAAGGGCAGGTGAATTTGGAGGCCAAGACATGACTTGAAAGTCACTGGAGTGTTCCTCGAACCAATCCATGACGGTTCGACCCTTATGACATTGTGCATTATCCTGTTGGTAAACACCATCCCCCGCAGGAAAAACTGTTGCCATGAATGGGTGAACCTGGTCTGCAACTATGTTCAAGTAGCTTACAGACGTCAGGGATTGTTCTATGAGGATTATGGGTCCTAACGTGCCTCATGAAAACATTGTTCCTGGTCGAGAAACCATGAAAACCTGGGCGAGCCCATTGTTATAGATGGAGGGTGGTCATAATGTATTGTCTCTTCGGTGTATGTTTAGGTTGTTTCTACTCCATTCATGTTTTCTCTTACACCAATAGGTAAATTTATTTACATGAATAATCTGATTTTAATGTTTTACATTAACTTTTTTTTAAAATTACATTTAAATCAGCTAAGATATTACTGTTTTTATCGCAATTAATAATTTTTATGAAAAATTGTTTATAAAGAAAGAACAAATTTATTACAAGATAATTATTTGTAAGATTTACACCAGAGGCAAGCCTTGGTTTGTAAGTGAAGCCCCTAAAATTAAAATTGAGCAAAAAGTATATTATTTAATTTTACCTGAAATTTAGGGCTATATGTTTACCTTGTTGTTTCCATTTCATTTATGTCTACTTTTACATCAATGAGTACATTTAATTACCTAAATTATTTACGTTGAATGTTTTAAATTAATTGTTTTCAGAAATTGCATTCAAATTATCTAGGAAATAGCTGTTTTTATAGTAATTTAATAATTTTGGCGGCAAACTATTTATCAAGAAAGAACACGTTTTATGCAGGAAAATTAATTGTAAGATGTTTCCCCTTAAATTGAAACATCACAAAAAGTAAAATGTTTATTTTTACCTCAAATTTAGGGCTATATGTGTATGTTGTTGTTTCCATTCCATTCATATCTACTAGTATTTCAATAAGTTGGCTGAAATAAAAATATCAGCTATTATTCATAAAAGAAAAGCATTTTTATTTAATTTAAGGGATATTATTTGAGATATTATTGTAATTATTTCATTTTTTTTACCTTTTTAGGTGATTCTAAAAAGCACACAGATCGGTTTTTTAATCACCCATTGGCAAAAGGGGTCTTACTTTGGCTTTTATGGCTTGTGCATTTTATTTGGATGTCATCACACTTTTCAACTGTGTTCAAGAGTAATAGTAAACAGTGCGCATGCGTCGTCATTACATGCGTTGCTATGGTGACCGCTGCTGTTTGATAATTTTTTAGAACTCTTTTTTTTCTTATTATTTTTTACCAGCAAGCATTTTTAATGTATTTACATAATAATAATTTAAAGTATTTTTATATCCCTTTTATTACTAACTTATAAATACAGTCTTGACAGTGATTTTAATATAAATAAGAATATAGAAGAAGGAAACGTATTTTGTGACGTCTTGAAACACTTACATAGGCATTATTTGAAAACCAATCCGACGACAAACATCAATTGAGACAGTTTTCGCAACCCATGATTTGAAATGTTGAGGCATAAAAAAAGCATTTCAACAATGAGCAACCAGTGTTCGCAATAAAGCGATCACAATTTAAAAAAATTAAATTTTTTTTTTGATTTTTCGATTGTTACATCTTAACACTTTACGATTGGGTTTTATGAGCGAAAATTTTCCTTCAAATTGAAGTGTCGTTTAAGTTTCCTAGTTTCGACAACTTTTTTTGAAATATTAATAAGAAAATTAAAAAAAAAAACTAGTTCGTTTATCATGCGTAAAAACTCTTAAAAGCAAAAAACTATTTATACTATTATTTTTTAAATGGTCCCTTTTTGGTAGAAAATAAGGCATTTTTTGCATATACGCTAAACACTGTAAAAAAATTTCTATTACTTTAAACAAAAAGTCTTTTGAGGTTTTTATTCAGAAGGTTATGAATTATGTTTTGAACTATTATCTTAAAAGCAAGTGCATATACTGTAGTAGTGACATAGGCAATTAGAAGAAGATTTATTGTAAAGGAGGGAGGCCTGAGCAGTCGCCAGGTAGTCGGGACCCTGTCGGTCTTGATTTCTTTTAGGTTTCTTAGCCAATAATCTGCGGGTGGGGATCTAGCTAGCACCCTCGTTGGAGAAGGACAACAACCAATGGAAAGGGGACCGAGGTTTCCTGAGGACGAGGAAGAGAAAAAAAGAGGGAAGACGAATGGAAGGCGACTACTAACTGTTGACCAAAAAGGCGAGAAGGAAGACAGCACCCCCGCCCCCCCCCGCAGAAGATGGTGAGAATATGTTTTAAATATTGTTTTTCTCTTGTCAATTTTCTAGGCCTCCTCCTCATTGCCTCACCTCATTTTTAATACCTCCTGGTAAATATACTATATTCGTGTTATTAATAATAGCTAATATCTTATTAAATAAAATTGTATTTTTCTTAATTTAATGGTTATTGATTGTCTTCTCTAGTTTCTTAGACACATTGCTTCAATCCTTATCTGACCGAACTTGGGTTTTGTTTCATATAAATTTTATCTATTGGATATATTTAAATTATCCCTTAAATAGTCACGACATATACACCGAAGAGCCATTACATTATGACCACCCTGCTAATAACATGCAGGACCACATTTAGCCCTCAAAACTGCTAACACCCGCAGTGGCATTGATTCCACAAGGTGCTGATAGGTTGTCTGAGGTATCTGGTACCAAGCGTTCACCAGCTGGTCCTGCAATTCCCTCACATTGTGAGGGGGTAGCGTGGCAGCACGAATTTGGTTTTCCAAGTAGGACCACAAATGCTCTATTGGATTAAGGTCAGGTGAATTTGGGGGCCAAGACATGACTTGAAAGTCACTGAAATGTTCCTCGACGATTCGATCGTTATGACATGGTGCATTATCCTGTTGGTAAACAACATCCCCCGCAGGAAAAACTGTTGTCATGAATGGGGGAAACTGGTCTGCAACTATGTTCAAGTAGCTTACAGACGTCAGGGATTGTTCTATGAGGATTATGGGTCCCAATGTGCCTCATGAAAACATTGATCGTGGGGAGAAACCATGAAAACCTGGGTGAGCCCATTGTTATAGATGGAGGGTGGTCATAATGTATTGACTCTTCTGTATGCAATTGAATTAGGAATCAATATAATTAAAAAAGCTAACTTTTAAAAATTTCCGCATATAAAATTAGGATTTTTTCTCTTAGTCTGTAGTTTAAAACATGTATCCTATAATCATAAACATCAAGGCAAAATTGCAAACAATTATTTTAAATACAACATGAGAAATAGTGCTTAAGGTAGAGTAAAAAGTTAAGGAATATGATTTTCAGATAAATGCATTGAAAATTTAAAATTAGTCTATCCATAGTTATCATCGTGCACAAAAATTGCTATATCTTTGTAAATAATTAGAGTACAAACAAAAGTTAAAGTACTTTTAAAAAGTTAGGAGTGCAGGGATTCGAAAATTTATAATAAAATCAATTTTGAAAATTTTTTCCGAAGTTATGTTTTTGCATCTTAAGCGATAAAAATTAGGTTATAGTTCCGGTAAACGTAAGACAACCACCTACCCTACTTCAAAGTGAATGGATCCTCACTTCAAACAACATATGCATGCGCCCTGATGAAATAAATATTATATATTCTCTTTAACTTCCATCTTGATAAGGATTCTCTAAATATATATTAAGGGCAAGCACTACTAATGTGATTAAGTTTCTATTAATCTGATTAAGTTTAAGAACGTTCAATTTGCACGATAAAAAACTTCCTATTAGCACTGATAAGATAATTATGAAATTCAATGATACTTTGGTTCGCTTAAAAATTTTTAACAATGTGCAGTTTTTGAAATTGCGAAAGTAGTAATAGCCGCGGTATAGTAGGTGGAAGTGACGTCATCATGGAAAGTCAACCGGAGCTTATTTCTGCTCCAACCGGAAGTTGTTTATTTCTGCCCGCCTTTAACCGGAAGTTGCTTATTTCTACCCGCCTTTAACCGAAGTTGCTTATTTCTGCCCGCCTTTAACTGGAAGTTGCTTATTTCTGCCCGCCTTTAACCGGAAATTGCTTATTTCAGCCCGTATACTTATTTCTGCCCGTCTGTCGTTTCGATTTTAGTTTCGGTTTTTGTTTATTATTTAATTTATTAGTTTTTTGAGGGAGGCAACACTTATTCATTTTAATATTAGTTTTTAAGGATGGCAACACTTAGAAACTTTGTTATTTGGGGAGATATTGTATATTATGAAGTTATGACGTTATCTCTTATTACATAATAAATAAATGATATCATACTTTTACTCTAGTGGCGCCATCTATGTGGGAATGTTGGAAATAAAATAACTTTAAATCTGTTTTAATATTTAAATCTGTTTTATCAGTATTTATTAAATATAATTAAGGCTGAGGATCGAACTCAAGCCAATCAAAAAGCCTTCGTGGGTCAGTAGTTGGATATCATAACTTTTGACCCACGAATACTTGGTTAGATATGTGTTAATAAGTTAAACTTTTGTATTCTGAACACGTGTATAAATGAAAAGGATTTGATAACGATATCATCCTACAGTTTCAACGATATATTTTTCACTTAACCTTTGACAGTTATTAAATAATTATTTCTGCCCCTCTTAATGTTATTATTACTTTCTCTTTATGGCAACGGTACTGACTATACACGTGCTAAGATTTGACGTGTTTTGTGTGATAACACAACTACTGGTTACAGAGCGAGTCATTCTGATAACATATAACAAGTTAGGTCTTGGTCTATGACGTATGTGTTGAATTCAGATCCTTTCACTTGCGCTGGTAAATAATTAAGCATGTGACAGTTTAACATTTTTCTGATTGGTTGTTAGAGTTATACTTTCATGATTTGGCAACTAGAAGGATAGAGTGACTTAATTTCCAATACCGCCCTCTTATATTAGTATTTCACTTGTTCTTCTGGTGTGTCTAGATTAAGTTTTTGCAAGTTTTTCAATTCACCAGGTTGTTATGGACGGATATTTAAAGAGAAAACATGCTGAAATTGAAGTAAGTACTATTGATTTCTTAGTAATTTATTGGTGTCATCTATTCTTAAAATGTTAGAAAGAGACTATATTAATAACTCTTAATTTTAGTTATTTTTTAACATAAATACAGTTGATATAAATGACTATAATTATTAATTTAAATCTAAGAAACATGTAATGGGAATTTTTGCCGCTTTAAAATCATTTATATTAAAAACATATTCGTTTTATAATAATTTAATATCATAATAATGCAAATAACTTACTTTATTTTCAAATTAGGAGTTAATTTGAAACTAACTATAGCCCTTCTATTTGAAAGTATATATTTAAATGATACTGATTACAGAACTTGAACATGTTATCTATTTCTCTCACAAAATTTTACAAAGACAATGCCTGTCCGGGACGTTTGGGGCTTATCCACGTTTTATCAATTAGTCATAATAACATAGTGCTTTATACTTGTTATAGAACGTGGGAATAAAATTATTTCTTAGAAAATTGTTTAGAAACCCGTGGTATATGTTCGCAGAAGTGCTTGGGTGAAACTTTGAATAAAATGTTATTTATTTTATTAAAATATATTTTGTCTTTATAAATCATTTTCACAGGTGAAAAAGTTTATATTATGAAGAAAAAATTACACCCTTTATTAATTAATACAAAACGTTTCAGAAAAATATATAGAATTTTCTGAAATATTAGAAAGTTTCCTCAATAACATAAATATTTTCCTTAAAAGATAGAAAATTTTGCTAAAAAGTTTGAAATATTTTTATAAAACTAGAAATTTTTTTAGCAAAAAGCCAAAATATTTTCTTAAAAGAGAAATTTTTTTGTAAAAACATAAATATTTTTCTTAAAATGTAGAAAATTTTTAACAAAAAGTAAAAATATTTTCTTAAAACAGAAAGTTTTTTTGTAAAAACATAAATATTTTTCTTTAAAGATAGAAAATTTTGTTCAAAAGTTTGAAATATTTTTATAAAACTAGCAAATTTTTTAGCAAAAAGTAAAAATATTTTCTTAAAAGTGAACGATTCATATTCGTTTTTATAAAAAGGTTTACTTTAGACAGAACTCAGGAGGTGAAGACTTTTACTTTGCAAATAAATTCTTAATCGTAGTCATCGAAAGGAGTTATGAACATTATCATAGACATTTTAACTGTGTGTTGTTAATTATTTTTCTTGGTGACTCAAAATTTTCTTTTTTTTTATTGTAGGAAGGAAACAGAAAAGGATTCTCAGCTTTAGTCATTGATTTTGAAGGTTTTCAACTTTCATCAGGGACATACATTGTCAAAGAACTTGCTTTTCATGCTGTAAAAGGTAATCCCATTACCGGAGTGTGTACATTCCAACCACCGTTCCCGTTTGAAGAACTTCCAACACAACAGAAAATGCAATATTCTTGGATAGTCCGAAATATTCATCAAATAGATTGGAACCAAGGAGAATTACCCTACATTAAATTTCATATTATGTTGACTTTTCTGTGTGATATGTATCCACATATCTATGTGAAAGGACTCGAGAAACGGAAATTTTTAGAAATTCTAACCGGCAGAGTGTTTTACAGTTTGGAAGATTTTGGCTGTCCTAAAGTAGATGAACTGATACCAACTTTTCATCATGCACTATACATTCACCAGATTTTAAACATTGTGCACTCGTTAAGGCGAAAGCATTTGGACGATTTCTACAAGACCTATAAATAGGACAAGCACTCGGAATTCAACATAAAGCTGTTCCTGGAAGTATTATAGTAAATCTTATAAATGACTTTTTTGCGAAATAGAAAATCAGCTCCAGTGGGGAGAAATGTATTTCTAAAAACATTAAACGATATTCAATTACCAGCAAATTTAGATGTAAATAAAAATATTGTATAGTAAAAATAAAATTTTTAAGAAAGCTGTGATGTAGGCTCGCAGAAGTGGTGAGGTGAAACTTTGAATAAAAATGTTATTTATTTTATTAAAATATATTTTGTCTTTATTGAGCATTTTCACAAGTGAAAAGGTTATATTATCAAGAAAAATTTCACCCTTTAATAAATAATACAAAAAGTTTCAGAAAAATATCTAGAACTTTTTGAAAAACTGGGAAATTATTACAGAAACATAAGTATTTTCTTAAAAGAGAAATTGTTTTTATAAAAACATAATTACTTTCTTAAAAGATAGAAAATTTTTAACAAAAAGTTAAAATATTTTCTTAAAAGAGAAAATTTTTTGTAAAAACATAAATATTTTTCTTAAAAGATAGAAAATTTTGTTAAAAAGTTTGAAATATTTTTATAAAACTAGCAAATTTTTAACAAAAAGTTAAAATATTTTCTTAAAAGCGAAATTTTTTTGTAAAAACATAAATATTTTCTGAAAAAATAGAAAATTTTGTTAAAAAGAAAAAAAAATGTTACATTATTTCCTAGTTCGTTAAGATTTTAAGATGATTACTTTAAGCTAGATCAATAAATATTTTCTATAAAATTATTTTAACATTAATTTTAAATCATGAAGGCAGGAGAATCCGTTGGTTCTATGAAGCATTCAGAGCGCGGGACAAGGACCCATATTTAAATACTACTTTCTACAAAGTTCATCCTCCATCCAGACTTCCATCTCTATGAATTCGTCGAAAAATCTTTCCAAAAAGCTTGAGATATGTGGGACTGACGATCACAACTTCATGGTTTCCTAATTCTCATTGTCTCTTTCTTAAACACTTCCAATGCATTTTCACAACACTTTTGTAAGAGAAATAGATAACATGTTCAAGTTCTGTAATCAGTATCATTTAAATATATACTTTCAAATAGAAAGGCTATAGTTAGTTTCAAATTAACTCCTAATTTAAAAATAAAGTAAGTTATTTGCATTATTATGATATTAAATTATAATAAAACGAATATGTTTTTAATATAAATGAATTTAAAGCTGCAAAAATTCCCATTACATGTTTCTTAGATTTAAAATAATTCATTTGAAATTTTAAGGAAATTTAATATATAATTGATAATATAAATATGTCGTTATTCATTTTTTTTAACAAAATGCTCTAGTTTTTAGAAAATATTTTTATTACTGAGGGAAATTTTCTTATATTTCAGAAAATAATTTTATTTTTGTAAAAAATTTCTAGTTTTTCAAAAATAATTTTAATATATTTGTAATAATTTTCTAGTTTTCATGAAACTTTTTTGTATTAATTATTAAAGGGTGTATTTTTTATTGAATAGGTTAGTAATAGGCAATATTGAATAGGTAAATAATAATTATAGCCATTTATATCAACTGTATTTATGTTAAAAAATAACTAAAATTAAGAGTTATTAATATAGTCTCTTTCTAACATTTTAAGTATAGATGACACCATTAGAATTCATATAGTATTTTTTAAATTATTAAAATTTATTTTATTAGAACCTTAAGTTTTCTTCTGATCTCTGTACATTCACAGGATACTGGTTAACGAAACCAATCCCACTATTTGTCGTCGGACTAAGAGTAGGAGGTTTTCGTAGTTTTCCTCCTCATATAACATGGGTACTCACAAAGTCCACTTCGAAGACATGTATTGTCTCAAGATCTAGGAGTTCCATTGTCTTCTGGGTTCAAAAATGACAACATTGACGATCCAAACGATAGGGATAAAAATATCCAATCGTATAAACTAATATTTATTGATTTAAAATTAATATACCTTTAATTCTAATACTTTTAATATTCACAGTAGACATACTTAATAAATTTTAACAAATAGAAAGTTAATTTAACAAATATTAACTTCATTCAGATTACGTAATGAAAAAAAATAATAACAATTCCTAATTTGTAACTAAGAAGATGAGTAATCTTTATTATTAACAAAATAAAAATAATTAATTAAAATGTACAAAACAATTTACTTTCTCTTGGTTAATTAAAGATACAGATTAACGCCTCTCAGTAGTTTTATAAATAATACTATTTAACATTATCAATATACTATTTATCATCAATATAATAAAAATAACGTAGTTATAAAATTTTTAAAGTTAACTAAGTTTTGTCACATGCTCTGCCTAAAAACGAATTAGTGCTAGAAGTTAAAATAAAACAATTCTATTAACAATAAATTTAAAAGCATAGTAAATTACTAAGAAATCAATAGTACTTACTTCAGTTTCAGCATGTTTTCTCTTTAAATAACCGTCCATAAC